ATACATGCACTTCCTGACAGATGTACATAACCTACCATACCACCACCTGCGAGCAGAGCACGGAACCTCAGTCTACACGCTGAGCTCTAGCTACCAGTTTAACCGGGAGAGGAACATGATAAAGCAGCAGACCCCAACGTTTTTGGCACCAGGGACCAGTTTCATAGAAGACAATTTTTCCACGAACAGGGAAACGGGTGGGAGAAGCTCAGGCGGTGATGCGAGTGATGGGATGGCTATAAATACAGATGAAGCTTCGCTCACTCGCCGGCCACACCCCTGCTGTGCAGCCCCCACCGACCCCTGGTTCCTAAATTTCATTTTCCGCAGGGGGAGGGGCAGTGCAGGGGGAGGGGTGGTGGAGCTCTGCAGCCTGGTCCTTAACATGCCGCAGACCGGTACCCAGGGGTTGGGGACCACAGTGATAAAGGACACCACAGGGCTGCAGTCAGCAGCATCACACTGTGGAAAACTACATTATAAACAGCCCAGTTCCTGCAACAAATAAATAGCAAAGTGGAAATAAATACAAGAGGTGGATGTGGGACCCTATTGATTAAAAGACACTAAGAGATGTATCAATTGCAATGGTTTGGACCTTGTTTGGATCATAATTCAAACAGACTTTTTTTTTTTTTTTTTGAGACAGAGTCTCACTTTATTGCCCAGGCTAGAGTGAGTGCCGTGGCGTCAGCGTAGCTCACAGCAACCTCACACTCCTGGGCTCAAGCGATCCTCCTGCCTCAGCCTCCTGAGTAGCTGGACTACAGGCATGTGCCACCATGCCCAGCTAATTTTTTCTATATATTTTTAATTAGCCAATTCATTTCTTTCTATTTTTAGTAGAGACAGGGTTTTGCTCTTGCTCAGGCTGGTTTCGAACTCCTGTCCTTGAGGGATCCTCCCACCTCAGTCTCCTAGAGTGCTACTAGGATTACAGGTGTGAGCCACCGCACCCGGCCAAAACACTTTTTTTTTTTTTTGAGACAGAGTCTCACTTTGTTGCCCAGGCTAGAGTGAGTGCCATGGTCAGCCTAGCTCACAGCAACCTCAACTCCTGGGCTCAGCATTCCTCTGACTCTCAGCCTCCCGAGTAGCTGGGACTACAGGCATGCACCACCATGCCCAGCTAATGTTTTTCTATATATATTAATTGGCCAATTAATTTCTATTCTCAGAGACAGGTTGTTTAAATGATGTAATATTTCAAGGAAAGTGAAGTCTAGAGTTAGCGGTCGTGTCCTTCAGCACGGACAGTCTGACCTTGGGTGATCAAGAGGTCAGACACAGGATGCCCCGGTGGTTTGGCCTCGCACGATTGCATGCCTACAGTCTTGAATCCCTTTGGCAAGGGACAGCTTTGTCCTCAAATAGTGACATTGACTTATCCTAGCACCTGCTTGCCCTGTACTCTAACACTGTGATTCCTACAGCCTTTTTGGCCCAAAATAGGATAAAACAAGGGTCATGGCAGGGGAAAAAAAGGAATCTAGCAAATATTATACATATATTGAATATTTAGAAAATATCTAGTATACTTTGTTTTATTATTAGGTTGCATTCACCAAAGTTATTTAAAGTTTAAAGTCAATTGCTTCCAAATGCAAAATGTTTCTTACATATAATCTACCTGTTCCGTAGTTTCTTCAACAAAATCAGTACAAGCAGACAGAAAAAGTTCATCATTTGTAAGTATGAGAAACCAGGAAACCCAAAAATCAGATGATGTTCCATCTTTGACAACTAAGGTACAGAAATTTTGAAATCTTGCAGTGTCTAATTAAATATATCTTAACAAAAATAAATTAAGCTACAGTCACTTGTTCTATTAATATACAAGTTTTTGTATTATTAGAATAAAATATAATTTAAAATTATCTAGACTCAAAAAAAATGTGTTTTTGCTGCTTTTCTAAATTATAGGGTAAAAGGGCAACAGGAAACATTGGTTATAAAGAAAAATCACCTGAAATAGACCATGAAATTTCTCACTATATCAGTAAACTACTAAAGCAAGAGGAGTCTAAGAGAAAACATGAAGGTAATTTTAACAACTTTAAAAAGTCTCCTTTTTTTTTTTTTTTTAAGACAGGTCTCTTTGTCACCCTGGCTAGAGTGCAGTGTCATCATCATAGCTCACTGCAACCTAAAACTTATGTGCTCAGGCAATCCTCCAGCCTCCCAAGGAGCTGGGACTACAGGCATGCCACCATGCCCAGCTAATTTTTTCTGTTTTTTTGTAGAGACGGGAGTCTCACTCTTGCTCAGGCTGGTCTCAAACTCCTGACCTCAAGCCTCCTAGAGTGCTAGGATTACAGGCATGAGCCACCACGCCCAGCCTGAGTCTCTTTTATTCTTAATTTGATTTTTTAAAATTGTGAATTACTGTATGTGTATATAAAAGCACACATAAAACATGTATGCAGTTTATGAATTTTAATAAAAGGAACACTTGCATGCCCATTCCCCTGCTTAAGAAACAGAGCACAAGTGCACTCAGAACACCTATGGGTCCTTACCAATCCTGTCTGCTCGCCCTGCCCGCCAGGAACCACCGCCATCTTGGGCTTCATGCCATCATCCCCTTGGCTTCCCTCCCAGCTCCCCGTACCTTGCTTGTGCCTATATTAGTCTGCTTGGGCTGCCATGACAAAATACTACAGACTGGGTGGTTTAAACAACAGACATTTATTTTCTCACAGTTCTGGAGGCCGGAAAGTCCAAAATCAAAGTTCCAGCCATTTGATTTTTGGTGAGGGCTCTCTTCCTGGCTTGCAGATGGCCACCTTCTATGTCTTCATGTGGCCTTCCAAGGAAGGCAGAGGAAAGGCGCCAGAGTTCTGCTGTCTCTTCCTATAAGGACACTAATTCCATCACGAGGGCCCCACTCTGATGACCTCATTTAACCTTAATTACTTTCTTAAAGGCCCCTTCTCCAAATACAGCCGTACTGGGGGTTAAGGCTTCAACATTTGAAATTTGGTGGGCAGAGAGAAAATATTCAGTCTATAACAGTACCCTTAAACATACATTCAGCTTTGAAAAATTGAGTAGCAAATTCAAATCCAGCTGATAAAGGGCAATACTGTCACTACTGAATGAAGACTTCCAGGAAAAGATAAACTGAGCAGAGACTCCAGCTTCATCTCCCCTAACATACAAGGCCCCAGTCAGTAGTAGGTGAGGTCATGAATTGTCCTGGGAGGTAGAAAAGCCATCGGATCCATGGCACCTGGCAGGGCTTCTCTGGGCAGGTCCAAGAGAGGTAGGGTGAGAGGGTAATGGGCCACCCAGAATTTCCTGTTCTAAGGTCACCAAAGCTTACCTTCAGCTCTCAGAAGTAGGTAAAAGCAAAATGCTTCTGTAGGGTGCAAGGAGAGTCCTCAGCTGGCCCAGGCTGCAGGGTGTGCTAGAGAGTGTAACACTTCCCAGGCCACGGTCAGACAGGCCAAAGCCCTGGTTCACCTGGTATTTGGGAGCTGGAGGTCTAACGGAATTGGGGTTTTAGTGTATCTCTTCACCTCTGGTGTGCAGCTACCATCCTGGCATCTCCCTTCATCATTTCCTGCAGGTTCTGTCACCCCCTTCTCTACTGGATTTTCTGTTTCCTAAACCAAGTCCTCCTCTTTCTTGGCTAATTCCATCATGTTTTAAAGAGCACAGTCTCCACTAGCTTTTTGTAAATGGGTACATGTAAGGAAAATGTGTATACCTTTCATCTGGAAATGTCATTATTCAGCCCTTCCACTTGATTAGTAACTGCCCAGATGGAAAGTTCTAGGTTGGAGATAATTTTCCTTCAGAATTTTGAAAACATTGCTCCATTGTTTTCACTGTTACATTATCACTAATGGGAAACACAGGTGAAACCCCCAAGGCCGAGTAAGAACAACTTGCAAGGAAAGAAGAGTCCCTGATGAATGATTCCCAGAGTTCCCTCAGGCCAGAGTGCGGAGCCTGGGTTGAACACATTCGGCATTCAGTAGAAGCCCTAGCAGGGCCACCCCTCAGTTGTGGGACCAAATAACGTTTAAATAACACAACGGTGTGGTAAAACTCACCTGTAAGGCCAATCCATCTGATACAGTTTAGTAGAAACTGATATCAGTTGCATTTTCACTGTGGTCACTAGTCTATTTAAGTTTTCCATTTATTTTTCAGTCCATTTTGGTCATTCATATTATCCTAGAAAGTTTATTCATTCAACAAGTACTTTTTGAGCATACCCTGTGTCAGGCACTGTTCTGGGCACCACGGAGATAGCAGTGAACAAATGCAAAACATTCTGCCCTCATGTGCTTATATTCTAGGGTGGGAACATCTTTCCCGGTCAGTTCATGCTTACCCACCTCATTCTTTATAATAACTGCCTGAAATTCCATGTTTGACAGATATTTAGGATGTTTCATTGTTACTAAACCATGCTGCAGTACACATCCTCCTTATACTTATCTTTGTCTATTTTGGTAGGTTCATTCCAAGAAGTGAATTTGTGGAGTCTAAGAGTATGTTCACTTAAAATTTTTTGGTTGCCATCCAAAAAAGCCCTACCAGTACACGCTTGCCAACAAGTATTGGAAATTCCAGTTTCCCCATGTTCTCACCAACTCTAGAAATTATTTGCCAGTTGGATGGGTGAAAATGTTTGTATTGTTTTAAATGGCACTACATCCAACTAGTGATGTTAAATATCAATTAATAACCTAATTGGCAAATTGTATTTTTCTACTATGAATGTCATTTTTCTTTTGGTTTCATAATTCCCATTTATTTGTGATGGTCTGGGAAAGCACAACATATCAAGCTTGTTAATAGCGCTCTTCTCTGTAATCTAGGGTTGTATGCATCTGTTTTATCTTTTCTGTCATTTCAGCGTTCTTGTCAGCCAATGAAAATAAGTGTGCTAAACACACTATCTTGAAATAGAAATCCATTGATTTTTAAAAGAGCACTAAATCATCTATTTTTGAAATATAGGTTTATCAAAGGAAGAACATTTGAAAGTACAAGCACCTCTGGAGAATATTGGAAGACAAAGAGAGAAAAAGGAAGATCAAGAAAAGAAGACCATTTTAATGAAAGAACAAGAACTACCACCAAAAAGAATTCAAGTAATTAATCCTGAAAGAGAAGGCAGTCAGGAAGATGACAGAGTAAAAGACAAGCTTCAAATAACTGACCAAACTAATGACCTGACTGAGATACCTGAGAAACATGCCGTTCCGTGCGCCAAAGCACCCTTCAGACAGAGAAAGCATTACTCGTTCACGACGACCATCGAGAACCTGCACCACGGGCTCCCGAGCTCAGGAGTGCCGCTGCACGCGGGCACCGCGAGAGGCCAGCACGGCGCCAGCAAACACGGCGCCCAGGCCGAAGAACTGAAGCAGGAGCACTCTGTTAGCGGGTATGAGCCCTCTTTTGGTAAGTCTTCCAGAATGAAAGCGAAAGACACAACTTTCAGAGATAAGAAAAGCAGCCTCATGGAAGAACTCTTTGGATCGGGCTACGTCTTACAAAATGACCAGTCAAGCCGTGCTGTGACGAAAGGATCTGAGGAGACTTTGAAAAGTAAGGAGACGCTTCACCTGCCTCCCAGTCAGGCCTCCGCCAGCAATGCTTTTGGAGACTCTAAAGTAACTGTGGTAAATTCTATTAAGTCATCTTCACCTACGGAAGAAAAAAGAAAGATAATTATTTAATCAATATCCTAATACATTCTGGTTTGATACACTGCTTCTTAAGTGCCTTTAATCTTTATTTAAAATGTGTGAGGGTGTGTGTGTGTGTGTGTGTGTGTGCGCGTGTGCTCTAGTACTTAAATTTACTTTGGATAATTAAGGTTTTGTTTTATTGCTAATTTAATTTTTAAAATCCACTTTATATTAGCCAGTGATAACACTTGAAATACAAATTTACGTCTTTTTTCTACAAGTAAAACGTGTCCATTATCTTTTGGAAGGCTGATTTATTTTATGGCTTTAGTATTCTGTGGCGCTCCATAGCTAGTAACTATTAAGTTAGTCAGCCTAAGACACATACACCTCACACATATAAACATTTTATCAGCAGTAGAGTTGTGTTGTAACTTAAAAAATGTGGAAACAGCTTTGGAAAGGAGTATGATCAAAAGAATCTCTTAATTTAAAAAAAAAGTGCAGTGGTTACCAGGCTTTGTTTTATGAAAACTATTTTTGGATGTTCTCTTATTCAGCTAAAGTGCTCATCTAATTATCCTGCCTTTGCAGGTGACACTTTCCTCATACTCACCTAAGATTAGGTATTATTTAAGGAGATTTGTTGCATACCTGTACCTTAACCATTTTTCCACTAATCTTGTTCTAAAAAAATAAAAGCATGTCAGTGTAATTAATGTTTACTGAAGCTAGCTGCTCAGTCTGAATTAATATATTTACTAAACTTAGAATTTTTTTAATTAGGACTATAACAAGGAGGCTGTACTCCCAGCCTAGCTTTATTTAACTTACCTTAATTTGGTTATAAGGACAACTTCTTTATAATCTACTATATAGTACTTCCAACAATGTTTATGGGTTGATGTATAATATTAATTCACTTTTAAAAATTAAGAATAGTAAAATAAAAATTTTAAAGGGAGTAAAAGTCATGGTGAGAGAAGAATTATATTTAAAACCAAACATGAGATAAATACTACAATTGGCATAAGCTTTGATCTTTAGGGAAACTGAGATGGAAAAAAACAAAAAAGTAAAGAAGCAAGGGGGGAGGGACCAGGGCAAGGAGGGGTGATAGAGTTCTCATCAGCTCAAAAGGGAAAATATACAAATGCATATGAAATGACATAGTTGCCTAAAATCTGGAAACATTTACTAAAAGGACTCTTAGAAATGGTGTACTAAGTAATATTACAATGTTTCCTCCAGCTTTATAGCAGAGAGAGGATTTTTCAAGGGATTTTTTTCTTATGCCTACCCACAGAAGCACAAATCATAATATTAAATCAGAGCTATTTAGAAGTGCTTCTACAGAGAACAAATTTAATAAAAAATACAATCTGAGCCTGCTGCCTTCCAGTCATCTTGATTGTATACGTGGGGAAAATTATAGGGTAATATATTAAAATACTAACTTTTTATCTCTGAGGAGTGGGACTGTGGCCAAATTTTTTATTTGTTTTTAAAATGTGTTTTCTACTTTGGCTTTCTTCTATGTTTTCTATAACGGACATAACTTTACAATCAGGGAAAAAATAAAAACAGATCCATTTCCTGAGGTCTAATAGAGAAAGTAATCTGGCACTCTTCCTTTAACAAAAACTGAAAATGTTGTAGCAACTATACAAACATGTTTTTAAATCAACTGGTCAGCTAGTCAACTCTAAGTGACAGTACGCACCCAGGGAGACAGGTAAGCAAAGCTCTGAAGTCAGCTTTTGCCCAAAGGGCATTTGCCAAAACTAGAGAACTGAGCATCAGAAAGAACTCCCAAGGACAAAACCCAGTCAGCCCAAGTAAGGGGTCCGTTTCCCACATAATGGTGGGATATTCCTGGGGTCTCTACCCTCAATGAACAAAACAACTGTATAAAACTAAGACTTTGTAGCCATAGGCAGCTTTCATCCTGTTGGATAGCCTGAATTTGGATTACTTAGGTGTTCTATTTAACCTAAAACTAACATTTGAAGAGGTCCACCCTGGTAGTGCCCCAAGCCCTTAGAAATGCAAATCCTCTCTAGAGGAATCTATCTTTAACCAGGCCTCAAGAAATCTCCACAGGTAACTTAAAAAACAAACAAAACAAACCCCGCCCCCCATCCCACCGCCCACACACAGTATCACAAAACATAAGAAAACAAGGTGCTAAGCAGCTAAGCAAACCAACACAACAACAGATATTCAAAATAAAACAGATGTTTTATTAATGTCAATACAATAAATGTTTAAAGAAATAAGTTTGAAAATATGAATAAAAAGAACAAGAACTATAATAAATGACCACACATATGTGAAAAAATATAAAAAAAGTACTCACAAGACATATAATAATTTAAATTAACTCAATAAACAGGTTTAACAGCACAGGAGACCAGAATAAAGAGATGTAAAGAAATTATCAATATAAAAGCACAGAGAAACAGAAAACATGAGAGGGAGGTAAAGCAACCTGAAAAGTACAGTGAAAGGTCTAACGTATATCTAATCAGAGTTTCTGAAGAAGAGGGAGGAGAGAATAGAGCAGGGCTAAATATCTAAAGAGGCTGAAAATTTTCCAGAAGCTATAAAAGACATCAATCCATTGAATCAGAAAACCCAATGCTTCCAGCACATTTGAGAGCTAAGAAAATAAAAAAAAAAAAAAAAGAAAAAAGAAAACCCAATGCGTCCCAAGCAAAATAAATAGAAACTGGAATAAAAAGAAATTCACACCTAGCTAAATCATGATGAAACTGCAGAGCACCAAAGACAAAATCTTAAAAGTAACCATAAATAGACAACTTAAAAGGAACAGCTGGATTTCTCAAGAACAATGGAAGTTAGAAATTAGTGGAATAGTATTTTCAAAATGCTGATAGAATAGCTGTCATCCTAGAATTGTGTACCCTCCAAAACTTTTTTTGTTTGTTTGTTTGAGACAGAGTTTCACTCTGTTGCCCAGGCTAGAGTGCCTTGGTGTCAGCCTAGCTCACAGCAACCTTAAACTCCTGGGCTCAAGCAATCCTCCTGCCTCAGCCTCCCGAGTAACTGGGACTACAGACATGCACCACCATGCCCGGCTAATTTTGTTGTATATATTTTTAGTTGTCCAATTAATTTCTTTCTATTTTTAGTAGAGACGGGGTCTCGCTGTTGTGCAGGCTGATTTTGAATTTCGAGCAACCCTCCCACCTCAGCCTCCCAGAGTGCTAGGATTACAGGCGTGTATTATCTACTTTAAAACAAATACAATTTCTGAAAAAAACACAATGATATGACACATAAGGGACATTTAAATGTCCCCTAATCTTCAAAACTATTAATGTATATGGAAAGAGATAACGGCTGTAAACTATAAATCTTGGCTGGCTGGTCATGCCTGGATCCTAGCACTCTGCGAGGCCCAGGCGGAAGGATCACTTGAGCTAGGAGTTCGAGACCAGCCTGAGCAAGAGTGAGACCCCGTCTCTACTAAAAATAGAAAAATTAGCCGGGCATTCTCACACGCACCTGTAGTCCCAGCTACTTGGGAGGCTGAGGCAGGAGGATCGCTTGAGCCCAGGAGTTTGAGGTTGCTGTGAGCTGGGCTGATGCCACGGCACTCTAGCCCGGGCAACAGAGGGAGACTCTGTCTTGAAAAAAAAAAAAAAGCACCCATCTTAAGTGTGCGGTTCAGTGGGTATTGACAACTGCCTATACCCACATAACTGCCTGTGGCAACCAAGGCCGTGAACATTTCCATCTCCCCAAGTTCTCTCTGGCCCCTTTGCAGTCAGTGATCCCCTGCCCTGTCTCAGAGCAACCACTGATTTTCCTTCGGTCACAATAGCTTAGTTAGCCTGTTCTAGAGTTTCACATAAGAGAATCACAGAGCGTGTCTCTTTTGCCTCTGGCTCTTTTGTTCAGCATGGTGTGGGGGGATTCATCCATGCCGGTGCTACCATCATTAGTGTGTACCTTTTGTTGGGGAATAGTGTTTTTTTCCTTTAAGACTGTGTGTACCCATTTTCCCAAGATGGCCCAGCAGCAGATTGTACTCAGAAGAGGAACGATAGGAACGCTCACCTCTGTTTGGACGGGAGAAATAACTACGTTTACTTCCTTCCAAAGGCAGCAGCCTCAGTTGTCCGCGCCTTCCTTTGTTTGCTTCTGGCTTTATAATCCAGGAGTAACAGGCTACCGTAGAAGGCGGCTCAGCGACAGGTTGTGTTAGATGATTGTAATATTTCAAGGAAAGTGAAGTCTAGAGTTAGGTCGTGTCCTCAGCACGGACAGTCTGACCTGGGTGATCAAGAGGTCGGACACAGGATGCCCCGGTGGTTTGGCCTCGCCGATTGCATGCCTGCAGTCTTTGAATCCCTTTGGCAACGGGACAGCTTGTCCTCAAATGCGACATTGACTTTCCTAGCACCTGCCTTGCCCTGTACCTCTAACACTGTGATTCCTACAGCCTTTTTGGCCCAAAATAGGATAAAACAAGGGTCATGGCAGGGGGAAAAAAAGGAATCTAGCAAATATTATACATATATTGGAATATTTAGAAATATCTAGTATACTTTATTTTATTATTAGGTTGCATTCACCAAAGTTATTTAAAGTTTAAAGTCAATTGCTTCCAAATGCAAAATGTTTCTTACATATAATCTACCTGTTCCGTAGTTTCTTCAACAAAATCAGTACAAGCAGACAGAAAAAGTTCATCATTTGTAAGTATGAGAAACCAGGAAACCCAAAAATCAGATGTGTTCCATCTTTGACAACTAAGGTACAGAAATTTTGAAATCTTGCAGTGTCTAATTAAATATATCTTAACAAAAATAAATTAAGCTACAGTCACTTGTTCTATATAATATACAAGTTTTTGTATTATTAGAATAAATATAATTTAATTATCTAGACTCAAAAAAATGTGTTTTTGCTGCTTTTCTAAATTATAGGGTAAAAGGGCAACAGGAAACATTGGTTATAAAGAAAATCACCTGAAATAGACCATGAAATTTCTCACTATATCAGTAAACTACTAAAGCAAGAGGAGTCTAAGAGAAAACATGAAGGTAATTTTAACAACTTTAAAAAGTCTCCTTTTTTTTTTTTTTAAGACAGGTCTCTTTGTCACCCTGGCTAGGAGTGCATGTCATCATCATAGCTCACTGCAACCTAAAACTTATGTGCTCAGGCAATCCTCCAGCCTCCCAAGAGGTGGGACTACAGGCATGCCACCATGCCCAGCTATTTTTTCTGTTTTTTTGTAGAGACGGGAGTCTCACTCTTTCTCAGGCTGGTCTCAAACTCCTGACCTCAAGCTCCTAGAGTGCTAGGATTACAGGCATGACCACCACGCCCAGCCTGATCTCTTTTATTCTTAATTTGATTTTTTAAAATTGTGAATACTGTATGTGTATATAAAAGCACACATAAAACATGTATGCAGTTTATGAATTTTAATAAAAGGAACCTTGCATGCCCGTTCCCTGCTTAAGAAACAGAGCCAAGTGCACTCAGAACACCTATGGGTCCTTGCAATCCTGTCTGCTCGCCCTGCCGCCAGGAACCACCGCCATCTTGGGCTTCATGCCATCATCCCCTTGGCTTCCCTCCCAGCTCCCCGTCCTTGCATGTGCCTATATTAGTCTGCTTGGGCTGCCATGACAAAACACTACAGACTGGGTGGTTTAAACAACAGACATTTATTTTCTCACAGTTCTAGAGGCTGGAAAGTCCAAATCAAAGTTCCAGCCATTGATTTTTGGTGAGGGCTCTCTTCCTGGCTTGCAGATGGCCACCTTCTATGTCTTCATGTGGCCTTCCAAGGAAGGCAGAGAAAGGCGCCAGAGTTCTGCTGTCTCTTCCTATAAGGACACTAATTCCATCACGAGGGCCCCACTCTGATGACCTCATTTAACCTTAATTACTTCTTAAAGGCCCCTTCTCCAAATACAGCTGTACTGGGGGTTAAGGCCTCAACAATTGAAATTGGTGGGCAGAGAGAAAATATTCAGTCTATAACAGTACCTTAAACATACATTCAGCTTTGAAAAATTGAGTAGCAAATTCAAATCCAGCTGATAAAGGCAATACTGTCACTACTGAATGAAGACTTCCAGGAAAGATAAACTGAGCAGAGACTCCAGCTTCATCTCCCCTACTATACAAGGCCCAGTCAGTAGTAGTGAGGTCATGAATTGTCCTGGGAGATAGAAAAGCCATCAGATCCATGGCATCTGGCAGGGCTTCTCTGGGAAGGTCCAAGAGAGGTAGGGTGAGAGGGTAATGGGCCACCCAGAATTTCCTGTTCTAAGGTCACCAAAGCTTACCTTCAGCGCTCAGAAGTAGGTAAAAGCAAAATGCTTCTGTAGGTGCAAGGAGAGTCCTCAGCGCCCAGGCTGCAGGGTGTGCTAGGAGTGTAAACATCCCAGGCCACGGTCAGACAGGCCAAAAGCCCTGGTTCACCTGGTATTTGGGAGCTGGAGGTCTAACGGAATTGGGGTTTTAGTGTATCTCTTCACCTCTGGTGTGCAGCTACCATCCTGGCATCTCCCTTCATCATTTCCTGCAGGTTCTGTCACCCCTTCTCTACTGGATTTTCTGTTTCCTAAACCAAGTCCTCCTCTTTCCTGGCTAATTCCATCATGTTTAAAGAGCACAGTCTCCACTAGCTTTTTGTAAATGGGTACATGTAAGGAAAATGTGTATACCTTTCATCTGGAAATGTCATTATTCAGCCCTTCCACTTGATTAGTAACTGCCCAGATGGAAAGTTCTAGGTTGGAGATAATTTTCCTTCAGAATTTTGAAACATTGCTCATTGTTTTCACTGTTACATTATCACTAATGGGAACACAGGTGAAACCCCAAGGCCGAGTAAGAACAACTTGCAAGGAAAGAAGAGTCCCTGATGAGTGATTCCCAGAGTTCCCTCAGGCCAGAGTGCGGAGCCTGGGTTGAACACATTCGGCATTCAGTAGAAGCCCTAGCAGGGCCACCCCTCAGTTGTGGGACCAAATAACGTTTAAATACAACAACGGTGTGGTAAAACTCACCTGTAAAGGCCAATCCGTCTGATACGTTTGGTAGAACTGATATCAGTTGCATTTTCACTGTGGTCACTAGTCTATTTAAGTTTTCATTTATTTTTCAGTCCATTTGGTCATTCATATTATCCTAGAAAGTTTATTCATTCAACAAGTACTTTTTGAGCATACCCTGTGTCAGGCACTGTTCTGGCACCACGGAGATAGCAGTGAACAAATGCAAAAACTTCTGCCCTCATGTGCTTATATTCTAGGGTGGGAACATCTTTCCCGGTCAGTTCATGCTTACCACCTCATTCTTTATAATAACTGCCTGCTGGAATTGCATGTTGACATATTTAGGATGTTTCATTGTTACTAAACCATGCTGCAGTACACATCTCCTTATACTTATCTTTGTCTATTTTGGTAGTTCATTCCAAGAAGTGAATTTGTGGAGTCTAAGAGTATGTTCACTTAAAATTTTTGGTTGCCATCCAAAAAGCCCTACCAGTACACGCTTGCCAACAGTATTGGAATTCCAGTTCCCCATGTTCTCACCAACTCTAGAAATTATTTGCCAGTTGGATGGTGAAAATGTTTGTATTGTTTTAAATGGCACTACATCCAACTAGTGATGTTAAATATCAATTAATAACCTAATTGGCAAATTGTATTTTTCTACTATGAATGTCACTTTTCTTTTGGTTTCATAATTCCCATTTATTTGTGATGGTCTGGGAAAGCACAGCATATCAAGCTTGTTAATAGCGCTCTTCTCTGTAATCTAGGGTTGTATGCATCTGTTTTATCTTTCTGTCATTTCAGCGTTCTTGTCAGCCAATGAAAATAAGTGTGCTAAACACACTATCTTGAAATAGAAATCATTGATTTTTTTTTTTTTTTTTTTTTGAGACAGAGTCTCGCTTTGTTGCCTAGCTAGAGTGAGTGCAGTGGCATCAGCCTAGCTCACAGCAACCTCACACTCCTGGGCTCAAACATATCTTCTGCCTCGCCTCCCAAGTAGCTGGGACTACAGGCATGCGCCACCATGCCGGCTAATTTTTCTATATATATTAGTTGGCCAATTAATTCTTCCATTTATAGTAGAGACGGGGTCTCGCTCTTGCTCAGGCTGGTTTGAACTCCGACCTCGAGCAATCCGCCCGCCTGGCTCCCAGAGAGCTAGGATTACAGGTGTGAGCCACGCGCCCGGCCGAAATCCATTGATTTAAAAGAGCACTAAATCATCTATTTTTGAAATATAGGTTTATCAAAGGAAGAACATTTGAAAGTACAAGCACCTCTGGAGAATATTGGAAGACAAAGAGAGAAAAAGGAAGATCAAGAAAAGAAGACCATTTAATGAAAGAACAAGAACTACCACCAAAAAGAATTCAAGTAATTCATCCTGAAAGAGAAGGCAGTCAGGAAGATGACAGAGTAAAAGACAAGCTTCAAATAACTGACCAAACTAATGACCTGACTGAGATACCTGAGAAACATGCCGTTCCGTGCGCCAAAGCACCCTTCAGACAGAGAAAGCATTACTCGTTCACGACGACCATCGAGAACCTGCACCACGGGCTCCCGAGTTCAGGAGTGCCAGTCCACGCGGGCACCGCGAGAGGCCAGCACGGCGCCAGCAAACACGGCGCTCAGGCGAAGAACTGAAGCAGGAGCACTCTGTTAGCGGGTATGAGCCCTCTTTTGGTAAGTCTTCCAGAATGAAAGCGAAAGACACAACTTTCAAGATAAGAAAAGCAGCCTCATGGAAGAACTCTTTGGATCGGGCTACGTCTTACAAAATGACCAGTCAAGCCGTGCTGTGACGAAAGGATCTGAGGAGACTCTGAAAAGTAAGGAGACGCTTCACCTGCCTCCCAGTCAGGCCTCCGCCAGCAATGCTTTTGGAGACTCTAAAGTAACTGTGGTAAATCATTAAGTCATCTTCACCTACGGAAGAAAAAAGAAAGATAATTATTTAATCAATATCCTAATACATTCTGGTTTGATACACTGCTCTTAAGTGCCTTTAATCTTTATTTAAAATGTGTGAGGTGTGTGTGTGTGTGTGTGTTGTGTGGTGCGTGTGCTCTAGTACTTAAATTTACTTTGGATAATAAGGTTTGTTTTATTGCTAATTATTTTTAAAATCCACTTTATATTAGCCAGTGATAACACTTGAAATACAAATTTACGTCTTTTTTCTACAAGTAAAACGTGTCCATTATCTTTTGGGAGGCTGATTTATTTTATGGCTTTAGTATTCTGTGGCGCTCCATAGCTAGTAACTATTAAGTTAGTCAGCCTAAGACACATACACCTCACACATATAAACATTTTATCAGCAGTAGAGTTGTGTTGTAACTTAAAAATGTGGAAACAGCTTTGGAAAGGAGTATGATCAAAAGAATCTCTTAATTTAAAAAAAAAGGCAGTGGTTACCAGGCTTTGTTTTATGAAAACTATTTTGGATGTTCTTATTCAGCTAAAGTGCTCATCTAATTATCCTGCCTTGCGGTGACACTTTCCTCATACTCACCTAGATTAGGTATTATTTAAGGAGATTTGTTGCATACCTGTACCTTAACCATTTTCCACTAATCTTGTTCTAAAAAAAAAAAGCATGTCAGTGTAATTAATGTTTACTGAAGCTAGCTGCTCAGTCTGAATTAATATATTTACTAAACTTAGAATTTTTTTAATTAGGACTATAACAAGGAGGCTGTACTCCCAGCCTAGCTTTATTTAACTTACCTTAATTTGGTTATAAGGACAACTTCTTTATAACTACTATATAGTTATTTGCTCACTTAAATTTTCTTTTTTCTTTTTTTTGAGACAGAATCTTGCTCTGTTGCCTGGGCTAGAGTGCGTGGCATCAGCCTAACTCACAGCAACCTCAAACTTCTGGGCTCAAAGGATCCTCCTGCCTCAGCCTCCCCAGTAGCTAGGACTACAGGTGCACACCACCAAACCTGGCTAATTTTTTCTATTTTTAGTAGTGACAGGGTCTCACTGTAGGTCAGGCTGGTCTCAAACTCCTGATCTCAAGTGATCCTCCCGCCTGCACCTCTCAGAGTGCTAGGATTACAGGCATTAGCCACCGTGCCCAGCCCCTTAAATTTTTTTTCAAAAGAAATGAAGGCTGATAAAAGGAAACATTTTTGGAAAAATTGGTATTGTGGTTCTTTTCAGGAGAAGGATCGTGAGCTTGAAATTAAAAACATCTATACTAATCGAATACTTAAAAATTTATATGATAAAGAAGATTATCCAAAAGGTATGTTTTAATTACTTTTGCTCAAAATCTATTTTTAAGTATCTAGTTAGATTTTCCTAATTTGTATAGCCAAAATAGTGGATATTTTTAAAAATCATTTTGTTAGGCACTGAAATATATTTTGTGATTCTAGAAGAATAATGAAACTATGATATGGTTGAAATAGCTAGAAAAGAGTAGAAATGCTTTCCTATATCCATTTTCAGCTCAGTTCTTTATGTCCTTACTCCAGGTGGAATGAGAGGATAACTTTTCAGCTTGAAGCAAAATGTTGTCAAAAATGGAACTTTTTAAGTATATCCGTTAGCCAGTATATGGCTTTTTAAAATGAACTTAATTGGGGTGTAGTTTACCTCAATAAAATGCACCCATTTTGGCCGGGCTCGGTGGCTCATGCCTGGAATCCTAGCACTCTGCGAGGCCCAGGCGGAAGGATCACTTGAGCTAGGAGTTCGAGACCAGCCTGAGCAAGAGTGAGACCCCGTCTCTACTAAAAATAGAAAAATTAGCCGGGCATTCTCACACGCACTCGTAGTCCAGCTACTCGGAGGCTGAGGCAGGAGGATCGCTTGAGCCCAGGAGTTTAGGTTGCTGTAAGCTGGGCTGATGCCACGGCACTCTAGCCCGGGCAACAGAGGGAGACTCTGTCTTGAAAAAAAAAAAAAAGACCCATCTTAAGTGTGCGGTTCAGTGGGTATTGAACATGCCTATACCCACATAACTGCCTGTGGCAACCAAGGCGTGAACATTTCCATCTCCCCAAGTTCTCTCGTGCCCCTTTGCAGTCAGTGATCCACTGCCTGTCCTTC